AGGGGCCAGTTTCTTCTTGGATTGGGGCCCAGACTGCCGAGGTGTCGGTGCCAAGGTTTGTGATGTCAGATGGAAGAAACACAGACTTGCACAACGTGATGTACTGGCAGCAGAAGCTGAGCCAAGGTTAACAGCAGGTCATCTGGTGTTGGTGAATGAATGTTCCCAGTGCCTGATGTTGGTTTAAGGCCAGCCATGCTGGTCGGACCAGTTAAAAGCGGCACCGGGTAGAGGAATACCTCAGCACCAGCCAAGTATCTGCAGGGCTTTCCCTATCCAGCCAGTCAGAGGACAGCATCCAGTTCAGTTATCCTGAGAATCTTTCTCCTGCTGCTGTTGCTTCATTGAGGCTTTGCATTGCTGCACTATTGTGTCTGTAATGTTGGAGAACTTGTCTCGTCACGTTGAAGCGGTTCAGAGATGGACTTTAAAGGAATAATCCAGCATTGCTGGAGTTTGATGCAACAGGAGAGGAACGGATCCAGGAGGAGTTTATTTTAATTGATTTTACATTAGGGTGCTTTTACACAATCCAGCCATCTGCTTCTGTCTGTCTCTATTTTTTATTTTTTTTTTGCATAGTGAGGATGAGAATTCAATTTGTACCAGCCACAAAGATTGTGCAAAGTGTTAAAAACTTTTGCTCTGCAATATTTATGTTGGTTATAAACAAAACAAAAAATATATTTGTTTACTGCAGATATAGCTGACTCGGTGGTTGTGACAAATTGTTGCGTTAAAGTTGTAGGTAAATCATATTTAAATGTTAAATCACCCTGGCTTAAACATGTATATAAATGTACTTTTTATCAGACTATATTGTCCCAAAAGTTTGAAAATTTCTATATATAAAAAAAAATCATGTCCTAAAATCTGTTCACCCCCCAATATCTTAATTTGTTTTGGTCACAGCATCTTGATTCATATGTCGCAGCTAATATACACAACGGTTGAAATCAGAATAATTTCCTTTCCCATTAAGTTCCGTCCCAGTGTTCACGGGGATGGACGTCTGTGTCTTCAGCAGGCGTAGAGCTAACAGAACTGGCAGCGTTGCGAGGAAAGGGCTCAAACATGTACGGCTGGAAGCCTTCTACACCAAACCAAGCTTCTGCCGCCCTGGCGTCCTCTTCCACAACATCTTCATCCCCGCTTTCCACTTCTAAATAAAAAATGGATGACGGAGGAGACTCATCCACAACCTCCGACACTAAACTCTCCTCCTCTTGCATGTTTCCTCTGTCCATAGCGTTCCTTGACAGTGTCGTTTCTAAGTCACCAATTTAGTTCTACTTGGTCACAATGGAATTTCCCATTAGAAAACTACTAGCACTAAGTTGCTAACTGGTTAGCAAGATGCTTCCGACAAACCGGCCACAACCAAACTTAATTGCGAACCTTCCACCACAGCAATCCCGCCCCCTTGATAATTGACCAATCACATTCACTTAATGCACTCGTGTAAAGTTGTGCACCACTCTGGGGAATTTGAAAATGCAACGGTTGGAACAGCTGCTTCCCTAAGATTTTAATGGAAAAGTCCAGGCAGCAAGGACTAATCAATGGATCGTTATTTCCACCTTAAACTAATACATTTGCGTTGATTTAATGAAACTGGCGTTAATCAGTAAAAAAATAGATAGATTCGAACCTCCAATCGATCTGACTCTAAAATTTCTGATCGATAAGCAAAATGATTTAACTCTGATCTGCAAACTTTAAATATTACTTACTGTCAAATAATACTTTATCTACTGAAGAAATTTACCTATTTGTTAAAAAAAATGTTACATCGGTTGAAATTGGTAAAAACAGTGGAGAGTTGCATAAAGAGTTTAGGAAGTCAGTGAGGAAAAGACTCAAACTAAAAGTTTAAAATGCTGAATGTGTAAAATAACAACAACCTGCTGCTCACATCAAGTAAAAAAATATAATTTTTCAGTTTTATTATAAATATTATTGTTTTTCTTCTCTTTGACACCAATAACATAGCACTAGCCTCCCGTTCAGCTCCTTATTCACTTATTATGGTTTCATATACAGTCCAGCATTGGGCTGCTCTGTTAAACTTGTCTCTGTTTAATGTTATTTCAGCTCCAAACCCTCTTTAACAGTACAATAAGTTCCATATGTGCTGTTTGTTATGGAGTAGGAGGTGCACAGACTATTTTAACACTTAAACTGGGAAAACGCTGCATTACTCATGGTGTTTTTATAGTTGGGTCATTACTGAGATTTCTACACCAACAGGAACAAGGACGGATTTTTATCTCTGCAGCCCTGAGGCCTTCCTCCTCTGTGGAGATATCGGATAAAGTTATTTAGAAACATTTGCCTCTCTCCCTTATGGAAACACTGTCTCAGCATCAAATATAAAGAGAAGTTTTCCACCCTAAAATGCTGCTTGTTAGATATTCTCAGTGTCAACAACAGCGAACCTGCTGAATATAGGTCACAACTAGGGATGCAAGTTATCCATTAATGAGCTAATCTAAGGTTGAAAGGGTCTCACCATCCATGGGCGGTTCGAAAGAGGGATCCAACAAATCAGTTTGTTAGATTGATATGCGCTGGCACAGCAGCTGTGTGATTGGTCTATTGCTCTAATTTCATTTTTTACCTTAAAATGAAGTTGTTACAGTGTTAGCTTTAGCTGCATGAGATAGGATCAGAACTATCCTTTTGCCCTTACTGTCTTAATATATTAAACGATGCACAATTTCTCTCCATTAATCTATGTGTCTTTACACCGCTTTCTTCTTATTTGTTACTTTTTCTTGTCTCGCTTTACCTGGTGTAACTAAAACTTTTCCACTTGAGGAATCCTGGATAGAGCGTATTGACAGATTGTTTTGTTGTTGCTCTTTTTTCATCTTATATGCAAAATGTTTTTATTTTTTTACAATTTGGGTGTAATTACTGCTCTAAGTGGGTCGCTCTGTTTAAGAGTCTCTATCCTCTAGTCAATGATTAATCTGTTATTAAATTAGATGACAATTATTTTAATAAATGATTAATCCAATAAATTGTTTCAGCCCTATGTTCATGCCACCAACTGGTATGAAGTGTGGAACTAAATGGCTGAATTAAAAATACTTTTCTTTACTTGTTTGTTAAAGTCTCTATAAAACTCTTAAAATGACCGTAAATTGTTCCTTCCAGATGTCCATATATCTGCCTGCATTTCTTTGATAAAGAGCCAAAAAAAAAAAAAAAAAAGCAAACTGAAGGAATTTGGAATCTCCTGCAGATGGATGACATGAAGTATGCAAATTAGGATACAATGACAATCATCTAGCCTTTGAGGACAACCAATAGTGACTTTTCTTGCTGAGGACTTGGCACCCTGGTCCATGCACGGCCATGGTGCAGGGGTTAATCACGTAACACATGTACAAAGGTTCTTGATGCAGCCATCACAGGTTCGAGTCTCGGCCTGGTGATCTTGTCGCCTGTTGACTTTTAATGAGCATTGCAGCTGCAGAAATGATGTTTTTAAATACATTTACCTCTATTTGTACATAGTAAAAAACATAAAACCTGTGCCCTCAGACTTTGTCATCGACTCTCCCTTTCAAGGGATTAAAAGTCATGTAAATGCATTCTCTACCGCCCAGCCGACAGAGACACAGCTTTGAAAGCAGGTTAAGAAGGATTCTTAAGCAGCCGGCCTGTACAGGAGAGCGGAGAAGCTCGCCTATTCACCCAGGCCAACAATCCCCTTTAACGACTGACCTTTCTTAGGCCCCGTCCACACGAAGTCAAACCCTGGCCTAAACGCACAAATTTTTCACCAAACCAGCCTCTCATCCACACAAAGCCGGCGTTTCGGGGGTCTGTAAACGATCTTTTTTTTATTCAGCCTTCAGAGTGGGAAGATTTTGAAACGCCGTTTTCGCGTTTCCATCTTTAAGCTCTAACCGCATTTTTTTTTTTTACACGCATGCGTCATAGCGTCGCCTCTAAACACGCAGTATCACAACAACAATGGCGCCGTACTGTGTTGAATGGTTGCTGCTCATGCTACTCACCCTGCTGTCGGGCTTACAACAGAATCTTCTTCTTCTGGAATATCTCCAGGAAGAACAGAGCAATATCGACGACATAGTTCAGCACCTGAATTTGACTGAACCACGAAAATGGACCCGCAGGGCAACCATGTATAAATGTTAGTGCGCATGTCCAACATTTCGTCGCTTATTTTTGCTTTGGCACCACAGCGCCACTTACAGGCCTGGCATACATTTTGCAGCGTTTTCATGCATTGGTGTGGACGCTCACATTTATTTTACGTCTCCGTCTTTACGACAAACGTTCTGGAAAATATTAGCGTTTCGTGTTCGTTTTGACTTCGTGTGGACGGGGCCATAGACATAGACAGGTATTGGGCATTTCAGGCTAACAAAAGAATCCAAACGACCCCCATTCCAAAGGGGTGGACTCGTTCGTCTGTTCCAGTTTGCATGTTTTCAAAACTAAAACAAGGTTTTAATGGGCTACTTTGTTAAACCTCAAACTCTTCTGACATTTTGAATTAAAAAAGGAGAAAATTAGGAATAGAATTTAGCAAATAAACAAATAAATAAAAAGGAAAAATAGGATTTTTCTTTAGATTTTTCACTGAGTCAATAACTCTGGTTGTTTTCTTCCTTATAAACAATAAATGCTGTTTTGTTCTGAAGCTTGATTGATTGTAATGAAAGAATGTTTCTCATAATGTACAAAGTAATCAGTTATTTTTATCACTAATTGAACGGTGAGTATATCCTTGCTGCGTGTTGCCTCTCCTCATTCAGTCCCTGTTTGCAGTTGATTCTCTTTAATCAGTGTTTAGAGTTGAAATGCAACAGGTTTCTTACCTTAATAAGGAGTGAATCCTAACCCTAACCCATTAGATCAGGATGTCAGGCTGTTGGCTTTATACCTGAGAGTTAATTCTTCTGTTTACGTTTTGCTGATAATTTTTTATTTCTTTTACAACCCCCCCCTGTCTGGAGCAGAGGTCCTAGTGGAGTATGAATATGACGCGCTCCACGATGACGAGCTGACCCTGCGGCCCGGTGACATCATCAGGAATGTGTGTTACATCCAGGAGGAGGGCTGGATGGAGGGAGAGCTCAACGGCAAGAGAGGAGTCTTCCCAGACAACTTTGTAAAGGTGGGCCGCTGTGACTGTCATCATGTTCCATGATGTGGTTCATGTGCTGTTCTGATTTAAAAACAATCTCTAAACTAAAAAAAATTTTACAATCAAAACCATATTTCTCTTAAAAATAATAAATAAAAAAAAGTTAATGAAAGTTGTAACTTTAATTGAATACAGAGCAGACAGATCAACTGTAGCATCCATCTGTGTGGTTTCTGCTCAGATTGTTCTTGTTCTGATTGCAGTATTAAATTATTCATTTCTTCTGGCTTTAATGGATTTTATTTGCAGTTTACTGACAAAAATGGGATGGAGAAAAGGGAGGAGCTAAAGTATCTCTGGGTCGGGGCTCGAACCCATGGCCTGCTGCATTGTTCCAACATTTTCTTTCATTGAATTAAGACTTGTGCAACATTTATCGTCAATGTCTCATTTTAGTATAACTGGAGGTCAAGCTCCATCAGAAATATATTTTTATTGTTACATTTTTGCTCTTAAGGAGTGTGTGCATCATGGTTCTGTTCTGGAAGGGCTGTTCTCCTATCAGGATCCATTCTAGGACCATGTTCTTAAAATGCAGGCCTTAAATGTATAATAAGGACTCTAGAAAATAAACATGGCTGAGCAGTAAATGGCGAGCAGTGAGTAAAACATAAATAAAAATGTTAGACATAAGGACATTCTCTGTAGCTGGTTGGAATGAGGTTTAAAGTTGTCATGTTTCGTCTGAGTAGATATAAAACTGCTTATTTTTATATCAAACTATTATTTTTTTATTATTTCTTTTAGTAAATTCCTAACAGGAATTATTTCAGTAATTTAATATCTTAAAGATACAGTGTCTAATAATTACAGGGATATACAGTCAGAAATGTAATATATTATACATAACTATGTTATTTATCATCATCTACGAGCTCTTTTTTTTTTTTTGATATACTCTAATAATCCCAGAGGGAAATTACTTCTCTGCATTTAACCCATCCCCTTGGGGAGCAGTGAGCTGCCATTGTGAGGCGCCCGGGGAGCAGTGTGAGGTTAAGGGTCTTGCTCAGGGACCCAGAGTAGCAGTCTGTGGGAGTGGGGGATCGAACTCACAATCTCAGGATTGAAAGCCCTATGCCCTAACCACTAGGCTGCCACTCCCCCTCAGCCTCTTAACCTTAATATTTGCCTTGCCTTAGAATTCGTTATTTATAATTACATAGGAGCGGGTCTCGCAGCCATGGAGGCAGACATCTTTGCGCTACGGCAGCGCAGAGCCAACAAACTAGCGATTGCGAGATCGCCAAAACGTCACAACGATGTAGAAAAAATAACGGGTATATTTATTATCTTAAGTCTACATGAAATCTATACCCTACACAGACTAATGAAATACTATCTGTAAAAGTATCTATGTAAACAAACCTCATTACTTGAGAAGGTAGGTGATGCGGACGTCGTGGAAGACATTTTGTCCCGTAACGCTCGCCGTACTGTTGGGGGGGAGAAGCGGTGGGGGGGGGAGATGTTCATGTTGCTGCAGTCTGCAGTGTGACCGCTAGATGTCGCTAAAAGTTACACACTGTAGCTTTAAATAAAATAAAAAAGCAACAATTCTTATACTTATGCTTTAAAAAAATGTTAACTTTAATGTCATTATGCTAATTTTGTCTGCTGGGTTTTTTTATTGCTTCAGTAGGGATCATATAACTATATATTTCTATGTGGACATTTGCTCTGTTTGTTCTTTAAAGCAGCCACAGGTGACGTTTGAAAAGCGGCTATAAAGATGAAATCAATTTGTTTAGTATTGGATATATAACAATAAATATGGAAAGCAGCTGAGCGCTGATAGTCTTGAAATCGCAGAGGCAATTTTAGTTACAATACATTTAATAAGAGTAAGACGCTAAATGTCGCACAGAAGGGAACAGAGAGTTGCAGCTAGCACCTAGATCTATACATTATAGTAGAAGTAAGAACTTTTTCATTCAAATATTAGAGATAAGTCCTGCAGCACTGGATTCTGGACAAGCAGGCTATCAAGATCATTTAAAACCTGAAACCCTGGAGTAAACATCAACATGCCTGTGCTTAAAGCAAAGGAAAATCACACAGGGTTTCCTCGGGTCATTCAAAATCATGAAAAGTCATTAAAGTATTATTTTTTAAATTAAGGCGATATATTTGCGCGGAAATTCTTCTGGTTGATCATAAAGCCGTATGTCCGGAAAAAAAACTCGAGGCGGAGAAAAAGCTAGAGAATGGGAAAACGCAAATTTCAACAAAAGCGACTGGAAAAAGAGGAATTTGGGACATAGCTGCAGCCTGTCGACTGTAAAGATGACAAGATTTTTGCTGTGTATATACCGTGGTGTGAAAAAGTGTTTGCCCCCTTCCTCATTTCCTGTTTTTTTGCGTGTTTGTCACACTTAAGTGTTTCGGAACATCAAACCAATTTAAACAATAGTCAAGGAAAACACAAGTAAACACAAAATGCAATTTGTAAATGAAGGTGTTTATTATTAAAGGAGAAAAAAAATCCAAACCATCATGGCCCTGTGTGAAAAAGTGATTGCCCCCTTGTTAAAATATACTATAACTGTGGTTTTTAACACCTCAGTTCAATTTCTCTAGCCACACCCAGGCCTGATTATTGCCACACCTATTTTTAATCAAGAAATCACTTAAATAGGAGCTGCCTGACACAGTAAAGTCCACCAAAAGATCCATAAAAGCTACCCATCATGCCGAGATCCAAAGAAATTCAGGAGCAATTGAGGAAGAAAGTAATTAACATCTATCAGTCTGGAAAAGGTTATAAAGCCATTTCCAAAGCTTTGGGAATCCAGCGAACCACAGTGAGAGCCATTATCCAAAAATGGCGACGCCATGGAACAGTGGTGAACCTTCCCAGGAGTGGCCGGCCGCCCAAAATTACCCCAAGAGCGCAGCGACGACTCATCCAAGAGGTCACAAAAGACCCCACAACAACATCCAAAGAACTGCAGGCCTCACTTGCCTCAGTTAAGGTCAGTGTTCATGCTTCCACCATCAGAAAAAGACTGGGCAAAAATGGCCTGCATGGCAGAGTTCCAAGAAGAAAACCACTGCTGAGCAAAAAGAACATTAAAGCTCGTCTCAATTTTTCCAAAACACATCTTGATGATCCCCAAGACTTTTGGGAAAACATTCTGTGGACTGATGAGACAAAAGTGGAACTCTTTGGAAGGTGTGTGTCCCATTACATCTGGCGCAAAAGGAACACTGCATTTCAGAAAAAGAACACTATACCAACAGTAAAATATGGTGGTGGAAGCGTGATGGTCTGGGGCTGTTTTGCTGCGTCAGGACCTGGAAGACTAGCTGTGATAAATGGAACTATGAATTCTGCTGTCTACCAAAAGATCCTGAAGGAGAATGTCCGACCATCTGTTTGTGAACTCAAGCTGAAACGAACTTGGGTTCTGCAGCAGGACAATGATCCTAAACACACCAGCAAGTCCACCACTGAATGGCTGAAGAAAAACAAAATAAAGACTTTGGAGTGGCCTAGCCAAAGTCCTGACTTGAATCCTATTGAGATGTTGTGGTATGACCTTAAAAAGGCCGTTCATGCTCGAAAACCCTCTAATGTAACTGAATTAGAACAATTCTGCAAAGATGAGTGGGCCAAAATTCCTCCAGAACGCTGTAAAAGACTCATTGCAAGTTATCGCAAACGCTTGGTTGCAGTTGTTGCTGCTAAGGGTGGCCCAACCAGTTATTAGGTTTAGGGGGCAATCACTTTTTCACACAGGGCCATGATGGTTTGGATTTTTTTCTCCTTTAATAATAAACACCTTCATTTACAAATTGCATTTTGTGTTTACTTGTGTTGTTCTTGACTATTGTTTAAATTGGTTTGATGTTCCGAAACACTTAAGTGTGACAAACGTGCAAAAAAACAGGAAATGACGAAGGGGGCAAACATTTTTTCACACCACTGTATGATAGTCATGGGTTGATGGCATTAGGATTATTTCTAAGAGCTTTAAACAGCATTGAATAAGAGTTACTCGTTCCTGTATACAGCCTGTCACAATAAAATCGCAACATTGGTTCAAAATAATTGCAGTTTTTATTTTTTGGCAAAATTGTTCAGCACTTGTCTCCAATCATGGCTGATCACGAGAAAATCGTCCAATTTCTGAGGACTGCCAGTCGAGCCTAACATGAATGCTGTTCTTTCATTGGTCTGTTGTTGCTGAGTAGAAAAATCCCTTCCTGTTAGCTGGCATTTACAGATCTACGCATCTTGTTAAAGGAATCATGATTAGGGCTGGGTATTTTGATTTGATCTGTTTTTACAATAATGAAAGTGGTTCAACTGTGTTTCAAAATACTCGTGTATTTTATTTTTTCCTGTCATATTAAACACAAGGTGCAAATTTGTAAATCCGACAGTTTAAACTTGAGATGTGAACAAAGCTGTCTAAAAAGTGCAAACTTGTTTGTGAAAAGTGAAAAAGTGAAGCCTCACTCGAGCAAGCAGACGTGACACAGCAGAAATGCATGAGCTGCATTATCTCCACTGCACAAACCATATTAGCAGCGTTGTCTTTAGCAACTACAGGGTGTTTGCTGGTCAGCCCCTATTTGTTAATGTGTTCATTCAACCTATTGGCTATATTTGCAGCTGTCTGGCTTGAATAATCTTTGTGGTCTGTAGCACGAGATGCAAGGTGCCACTCATCAATGTAATGAGAAGTCACCTTAATGTCACATATCCAGCACATTATCTTTAGCTGTTTCAGATCCAAAATGGTTCCAGACGTCAGACTTCAGTTGGGACAGCTTGCTGAGCGGTGTGTTACTTGGGTCGGCATTTGCACACGCCTGCTCATATCAATGTGAACGTCACAGTAAAACTAATTGATCTCATACCCTACACATCGATTTTGCAAAAATGTAAAGAAATAGAAAATGATTAAATCGATACTTTTTTTTTACCGAGCCCTCATCATAATCTAGTATTTTAGATCTAC